CCCCAAAACCCCAAAACCCCAAAACCCCATGAAATTGAAATGAGAAGAATTTTAAGATTAATTAAAAAAATAAGACAAAGGATCATGATTGCTGGAATATTCGGATCTCCCAATGCGATTCCTGATTTAAGTGGTTCTCATCTGATTATACCATGTAACTCTGCTGGTCAGTCTCCCTTCATTGCACTCGATCTTTTGATCCTTAACGAACCCTCAGTTTAGAAGATCGGTCACTATAAATCTGTAAACATAGCACCTTGCATCTCGAATGATGGCACCTCTCTTCAGCCCAGCGAAGGACAGATCACCCTTCCAGCAGAGATATATTACTCAAAAGAACTGAATTTGACCATATTATTCATCCGTTCAGGAGTCTAAGAAGGCAGAATGAGAAAATACGGTGATGAACTAGTCTAGTTTGCAAAGTAGCATGGCTTTGCTAGTGTAAATCTGATCTCTTCCACTTTGAGTCCTATTGCAAGAGAAAGAGATTCTAATAGATTGTAAGCACTTAACGAAAAATTAATTATTTTAGAATTCCAGAGATATTTGGTTATGTAAACAATTATATATACAAGCAGAAGAATCCTAAGTATTATGAAGTCTACGGGATCAGAAGATTCGGGTATTGGTTGAAGGACACTAAAATCAAGCATCATTAGGAATTAGATGAACTTATGATGGCCGGCTCAGCAAAAGGTCTGATTAAGACTTTTAACAGATAAGATATTCCCTGCACCTTGTTTGTCATTTTTACTTCTGGGGGTATTGATTTTGTTGGAGGCTACACCTACTATTAGTTTATTAAGAACTTTTTCTCCGGTAACTTAGCCTTAGCTTCAGATGTCTATAAGAAATTTGGCAAATTGCAATTAAGCCAAAAAGATGGAGAAGAGATACATGAAATGCTTTTCTAAAAGAAAGCCCTAAAGATACCTTTCTACTGGTCTTAGATTGTTTAGTATTTTTGAGTATAACTCTAACCCTTAATTTATTAAATTATTTACCACATATTAAAAAATGTCAAAAGAAATATTAAAAGACGCAGCAAAAACAGTCATTTAAAGTCTAGGCAAAAACGAGAAAAACTTGCTTAGCTTACAGCATTCAGCTCTAGATATATCCCCAAAACTGTTCAATTTTGCATCCTGGCTAAACAGTAGTGAGTTTATTAATCCATCTAACACTTCAAGTATTCATGGAACTACACCTGCTCTTAATGTAAATTTCTCACTAGCGTTCCAAAACTTCAATCATCTTAATGGAATGGGTTATGGCATTAAGTCACTTCAAAATATAACTTAAGGAGACACTATTATTAAATAAAAAACCACAATAGGCTTGATAAGCAAAGATCTTCATGACGAAGGATAATAGATATTAGAAAAGAGTGTTTAAGACTAGCTTAGTGAAGCATAATTGCAGGATTTAAGAGAAGAAGAATCTTTAGAAGCAAGCATTTAGAGAATCAGCAAAGAGATCAGTGAATTATTTTTTCCAGGAGATTTCAATAAAGTCAATCAGAACAAACTTTATCAGCATTTAATGTTGACTCAAAAGTTACTTATGATTGATAGAAAGCAATTCACAGAGACAGCATCTGATTAGTTAATGCAAGCTTACTTAGATATCGTTCCTAGAGATGACATGAGTACTTTGATCTATTGGAATCGTAAAGTTCTGAACGAAATAGATTCTGAAACACTGAGAAGCTAGTTCCAATAGACAGAATAATACTATCAAAGTATATACCATCATCTAGTTAATTTAGACTCCTCTCCGTATAAGGGAAAAAACTCCTTGACATTAGACTAATTTTTGTGGGCTTTTACCACTATATCTCAGAGACATCTAGTCATGATGAATTAGTAGCTTACTAATGATCCAAACATGATCATGCTCTTAGTGCCTTTATTCGACATGCTAAATCACTCTCAAGAGCCCAATGTTATAATTACTCCTTATGAAGATAAAATTACCAATGAGTCATTTGTTTTGCTTTAAGCTATCAAAGATATTTAAAAAGATGAGTAATTATGCATTAGCTATGGAAGTCTTGGCAATTCTCACTTGATTCAGAAATATGGATTTACTCTTGAAAATAATCCTCAAAATTCCCTCACAATTCAATTGCCTTTTCACGAACATTAAGGCTTAATCTTTGAAGAAATAGACCTAAAACGGAGGCTATCAGCACAACACAGAGTACCATTTAGCGAGCATAAATATATAAGTACACTTTACCCTGCTAGATTCAATCAAGACTAGTTAAAACAACTTAGACTTAGCTTTTTTACATCTAGGAATATTATTGATTTAGGAGGAACTGATAGATTCATACAAACTGCGGCAAACTTCTCATAAGGATTTTCAGAAGATAATGAAGACTTCTCATTTGACTACTTAGTCAAATCGCTATAAAGTCAATATATGAAACTTAAGCCTTTGAATTACTATTAAGATTAGATAAAAGAAATTGAAAGTAGAATATTTAGAGAAACTTCACTAGATGGTGATTTGAGTGCCAAACCTGGTGTTTAAGTTGATAATGCTCTTGAGTAATATAATATGATGAATGCTTTCAGGCTCCAAGCAGATGAAAGCAAAATACTATCAGCCAATATAGAATTCCTAAAGAAAAATCATGCAATTTCTGTCAGCAAATTAATTTAAGTTTGATTTCAAAAATTGATAATGAATTTGAATCATGGGGTTTTGGGGTTTTGGGGTTTTGGGG